CTAACAAAACATATAGATGAAATCTTGAGCTTTCGTGGGCTCAGCCCACTTCTCCGGGCATCTGAAAAAGTGGGCTATGCCCAAGAAAGCTCATACCACCATCTACATATTTTGTTAGTCTATAAAGTGCCATCAGACCATTTGTTGTTTTTTAAGTTTATTTGTATGCTGGGAACTCTGATTTCTCACTTATTTTAAATCAACATTGTTAAAACTTCCCAGCAGAATAGAAATTTTTCCTATCATGGTTATATAAAATAGATCATCAATTTAAACGTTTTCTATACAATTGTTACAAATAACCCTTAGGAGTACTATACAAGTGAGACCAAAGAAAAAAAATCTCACTATTTTTCCAGTTTACATTGTACATTAGACAGTATTTTGTATAGGGTCATTTACATCTTTTGTTTGTATGAATCCTTCACACCACAATAGGTCATGTATCCTTTTTGTTTGTTCGTTGTTTTGGGAGGAGGCGTACAAGTAGGTAAAACCAAAAAGATTCCAAGAGTAACTTGAGACATGTGCTGTACTTTTAAGCTATTTTTCGTGATGTTGTTAACTGAATCAAAAGTAAATTTCAAGTTGATTTCCCTTTAACCTACGTTTATTTTTTGTTTATCATTGTTAGACAATGATATAATTCTGCATTTCTCAATAATTTCTCTATCCAGAGTAGGCCTTTTAATTCTAAACCAGACAGGGTAAGGAAAACAAAAAGCAGACTAATTTCCACAATGAGCATTGACATAAAATTACAATTATGTATCTCCCAGGGAGAAGTTACACCTTCCATAATTATCACTGGTATAAAATCTTTGCAGTTAACAGAATTTGTTTAGTTAACTCTGCAGTTTACAGAATTTGCAGGATTTTTTTTAAAAGCATACTTTCATAATTAAGTTAATTTCTTATCACAAAAGTTATATTTTGGATTTTCAAGAGTTAAGAAATATAGCAAATAGCAAAAATTACTATCACAATGGAGTCCCTGCATTTCATCTCCATACACCACATGACACTGTGCCCCCATATTTTTATGAGGATATGTTTTGAATATGTGTAACTAAAATACACTTTATACAAAACAGATCAACTACCCTATCATTCAAAATAGATGTTCTCCTGAATGTGTATATTCTATGTGTGTATGTAGCAGTCTTGTATGTGAAGTTAGAAATATGAAGCCTAAACCTGCTTATTAATCTAATATGCAACAGATTTACTCTGGTTTTAATTTACAAAATAACCAAGTAACTTAACTGGAAGTTCAGTGTAAATTAAACAGGATCTGGCCGATAATAGGGATGTAAAATCCCATTTAATTGGTTAAACATTATGTTTAACCAATAAAGCAACTAATGGGGTACAGGGAGGGGGGACACTCCAGCCCCACAAGCCCTCTATGACAGGCAGGGGCTACTGGCTCTCCGTGGACAGAGGTTGCTCTGGACAACAGGACACAGTTCATCGGGGTTAGCCAAGCAATTGGCTCCCATTGGCCACAGCTCCCACTGGCCAGAAACATCAAACCGAGGCCCCTGGGAACTGCGAACAGCCATGCCTGTGGACACTCAGGTAAGCAAAACATCTGGCAGCAACTAACCCTGATGAACCACAACCAGCCCTCAGGCCAAAAGGTTCCCTATACCTAAATTAGAATAACTTCTTTAGAAACGTGACTAATGTTTTCTATGATCACTAACCTTATTACAAAGAAGATGGAAATACAAAATAGACCTGTTCCAAAATAGTTTGATGTTATTCCGAACAAATAAACCTGCTTTCTTCTGCAGTACTTCAATTTCATTTCCAAGAAAAATAATACAGAAGAATTTCTGAGATTCTTGATATTTTGTATTACAAGTTACCAGTTCTTTCTGAAATCTAATGATTTATCTACTACAAAGCACATTTTTAGTATTTTATAATGAGCTACATAATCATAGCTTTGATTCATAAATCAGCAAGCAATTAAATGTAGCATGGCAAAACCAGATCTGAAATAACTGAAGCTGTGCATAGGAAAATGACTAATTCTTAACAGAAGAATCATATATGAATTTGTAACATTTGGAACTATCTCTGTAAATTACCCAAAACACTGATGACATGTTTTGTGAATTATCTCCACCATAAAACCTGCTTAAATTACTGTTTACAAATATGGAAACTAGCCAAAATAACAGCAATTAATAACTAATTTCTAATTAATTTATAGTACAAGGTTTCTAACCACCTGTTTCTTAATTCATCTCTTTAATTCTAAACAAGGAAGAATGAGTTCTCTGTGACAGTATCCTAGGAGTTTAATATACAAATAAAGCTAAATACATAGATATAGGGATCATATTCACAAAGCTTATCCTGTAAATACTTGTACTGGATTAAGAATACATTGTTTTATGATCTCTCTATATTTATTCTCTGAATTGTATCTTTGGCAAAACATAAAAATCAAAGGCTGGCTCCATTCAATGCCTTCTCCTGGTTATTTTGCCTCTGTGTGTATATGAAATTGTAATCCTTAGAGCTAGACAGCCTATATTTTCATTTTCACATGACTAAACTGTTTTCTTAAAAATAAAGTTGCAAGAAGAGAAATGACATTATCGACACTAATAATTTGAGTGGAGTCCTGTGGATAGGGACATGTGACTAAAAGAGGGAAAGTCAGGATTCTGTTCCTGACTCTGCCATTGACTTGCTGTGTGATCTTGACCAAGCCACCTCACCTTTCTGTGACATCCATATATGTAAAATGGAATGATGCTGCCCATTCTTTGTTAAATACTTCCAGGCCTAAAGCTGGAAAAGGTTAAATATTATTAAACTGAGATTCAGAACTGTGATCTTGTGAATCTCTGCTCATTTTGGTAATCTGGAGTACAATCTCAAATCCATTCTTGAAGTGAAAAAATACACAACCTCAGTTTCCATGACTATCATCCTTTATTGCTGATAGTCCTTGTCATATATAATAAACCTGCAGCCTGTACAAAATAAAGGGTCTTGCTTGAAACAGTAGGTAAGAACATAAAAATGAGCATACTTGGTCAGGTCAATGGTCCCTCTAAGTTAGGGGTAGGCAATAAAATGACAGCAGTTCACAAGGGTTAGACCCTGGTGGGCTGCTGCTGCTATATTTACTTGCACCTCCATAGTACTGGTAATTGAGGCTCCTGTTGGCTGCAAATCACCATTCCCGGCCAAGGGGAGCAGCACAAAGCAGAGCAGACCAGGATACCGCTTTCCGCAGCTCCTGTTGGCTGGGAATGGGAAGGAACAGAACAGGGCAATTATCAAGTGATCCCTCCCCAGTTGTCCAGTCCCAGCTTCCAGTAGTCAAATGTCAGGGACAACCAAAGCACCAAGATGCGTCCCTGACCATCTTGACTAATAGCTGTTGATTGAACGATCCTTTGTGAACTGATCTAGGTAAATCTTTTTTTAAACCAGTTATCCTTTTGGCCTTACCAACATCCTCTGGTAACAAGATCCACACTATTACAGTAGTCTGTATGAAGAACTTTCTTATGTTTGTTTTAACCTTCTTATTAATTTCACTGAGTGTCCCCTGGCTCTTGGGTTACATTAAGGAGTAAATAATAGGGATGTGACAGTGTACCTGTGTATACAGTTAACCAATAAGCCTGCACTGTTACATGCACCCCCACAAATACACCATGTGAAGTGACAAGACCTGCTGCCACCTGAGAAGAGCAAGAACCCCACTAAGCCAATCACTACTCCATTCTGGTCCCATGGCTCACCAGGGCTGTGTCCAGACTCAGGGGTTTTTTCGGGAAAAGTAGCCTTTTTCCGAAAAAACTTCACCTGCGTCTAGACTGCAGCCGCGTTCTTTCGAAATTAAATCGAAAGAATGCGGCTTTTCTTTCGACGGTGGTAAACCTAATTCCACGAGGAAGAACGCCTTCTTTCGAAAGTGCTCTTTCGAAAGAAGGCGTTCTTGAAAGCAAACAGGCTTTTTAGAAAGAGAGCATCCAGACTCACTGGGTGCTTTCTTTCGAAAAAGCGGCTTGCTTTTTTGAAATTCCACGTGCAGTCTAGACGCTCTCTTTCGAAAGAGGCTCTTTCGAAAGTATCTTTCGAAAGAGCCTCTTTCGAAAGAGGCTTGCAGTCTAGACATAGCCCAGGGGTATCAGTTGGCGATCTACCTATGGAGCTGTGAACACAGGCATGAACCTGGCTCAGTTCATTAACTCCCACAACACCTGTTCTTTCTGGGGTGAGAAGGAGATGCTAGGCACCCCTTCAGCCCTACTCCCTGAAAACCCCTTCAGCCCTACTCCCTGAATACCTTTCCTGCAACAACTGAGGCAGAGATCTAACAGACTTATTGACCACTCACTTTTCATTAATTCCCAGAGCACCAACTATTCTGCACACTAAGGCACTGTGAAAGAAATAGTATATGCTCATAGTTACATTATATCATAGTGTATGTGCACAAGGCACATATTAAGGTTGCAGAATGCCTTAATTCTGGTATTTCCTAACTCTTGAACAATGGACTTTGTGCTCTTGGGTTTTAGATATAATACATATCTTAGTGCAAGATGTTTTTGATAGCATAAGACCTTCAGAATAACCTACTTAGCCTAAAAAAGCTGCCTATAGGAAACGAATTCTAACAAATGTTTTAAAAGACCTCATGCTGCTAACACATGTTTAAGTGATGAATTTTTGTCAATGGAGTGACTGAGAATTGAAGTTATGGAATAGTTTTCACGTTCGAGGGCTTTTGAAACAGTAATCACCTTACAAATGTGTTTTCAGTTAGCCAAATGTTAAGAGTACATAACCCCTCAATTTCACAGTAATTAGCAGTGAGCATGTTTTGATAACCACTCTCTCTAAACAGCATGTTCCCAAGCAGGATTTACCCCCTACAGCTGGGCTTTAGACAAAGCATTTCAAACGTTACTGACAAGTGCCTCTGTAACCCTAATGAAAACAACACAGCCTGTGCTTACCTTTATCCCCTGCTGTTGGGTGGTTAGGGTCAACTTGGACTCATCCAGAAGCAAAATCTCACAGTAAAATTCCTCTGGGACAGCACAGAAACAACCCATCACTGCTTTGATATCAGATGGAAATGGGAATAGAGATAAAGGCGACCCTAAGCTCGAGAACTGGAAGAAGCAGCCGTGTAATTAACGCCGCCGCTAATGAACAAGAAACGTATTCAGTTCAACAGTCCCAATGCAATACAAGGATCCCGCGAGATGAAGGCGTGCAGGTACTTCTTGGATCTTGAAAAGCCGCGTATCCAGTTGCAGTAAAGAGGGTTAGCTACACAAGGAACAACTCCTCCCCATGCATCCTGCAAAAGTCTTCAGCAAAGCGGGTAGACGCTCCTTCCGCTGCCCTACGGGAAAGAACAATCACATTGCAACGAGCCAGGAGCAGACAGCCAGGAGCGGGCAGTCCCTGCCGAGGTCCCACTGGCCCAAGGCAGAGCAGGCGGCCAGTCTCCCCTGTTCTTCAAAGCTCTGTGCACAGACTGGATTAGCACCCACCGGCCTCCGCGCCCCTTCCGCCCGTGTCTCCGGGTTAATCATTTGCCACATTCCCACTCCCACCCCCCGTCTGAGGCTGCTCTTTTGTGTGCAGCGAGAGCGGAGCGAGGCAGGGAGAGCCCCAGCCCCACCCACTCCCCCGCCTCACCGGGGCCAGAGAAGGGGGGCGAGTTACCTAGGCGGAGAGGAGAGCCGCTGGCTGGGCGGCGGGCTGCTGGCGTCGCTGGGCCATGTGCAGCAGAAGCACCGCTTCCCCGCCCAGCCTCGCCTCGCCTCGCCTCGCCGCACCTTCCCGCCCCTCCTCCCGCGGAGCGGCTCAGCGCTCAGGCACCGCGCTACGGCTGCTCCCCCGCGTCCCGCGCGCCCTGCCCCCTAGGATGAGCTGGGGGCGGGTGAGCAGCTGTGTCCTTAGCCCCCCGAGATGTGACCTCCCCGGGCCAGAGCGCGCATCTCCCCCTCCCCTTCCCCCACACTCACCGTGCGGGCGCCGGGCTGCGACCCGACGGGCGCGACTCCACCTGCCCCCGACTGTTGCCCGCGCTGGGATCCTGCAAAGCGCCTGGGGGGGTCGCCTCTTCCCCTCGGCGCGCGCCCCAGCTGCAGCATGGCCCGGCGGCGCCTCACGCCTCCAGCCGCAGCGCCGGGGCCGGGGGCTGCCGGCGGGGGGCAGCGAGCGCAGCCACGTTGTGGCCAGGCCCGCCGGCAGCTGCCGCTGTCTCTGCCCTTCTGCCCGGGCACCTCCTGGCTGCCGCCGCTCAGCTGCGTCCGTCTCCCGGGGCGATGGTGCCGGGACGGAAGGGGAGGCTGCTCTGGCCCCTGCGCTAGCGGCTCAGCCTCCCTCCACCTGGCGCTGAGGCAGCAGTGACCCCTGCTGGGCCAGCGCCTAGCGCCGCTCGCCTGCAGGTGCAGGGCAAGCTCGGCCCCTGCCGGCCGGCACCAGCGAACCGGGGCAGGGCTGGGATTGCAGCGGCTTTGCGAAACCAGCCAGAGGGAGGGCCCGTTGGGACTGTGAGGGGAGCAGGGTGGCCTGCGCCTTGGCCAAGCAGGGTGGCTGTGTCTAGACTGGCCAGTTTTTCCACAAAATCAGCTGCTTTTGCAGAAAAACTTGCCAGCTGTCTACACTGCCCCCTTGAATTTCTGCAAGAACACTGATATCTCATGTAAGATTGTCAGTGTTCGTGCTGAAATACTGTGCTGCTCCCATTCGGGCAAAAGCCCTCTTGCGCAAATGATTTGCGCAAGAGGGCCAGTGTAGACAGCACAGTACTGTTTTGCACAAAAAAGCCCTGATGGCTAAAATGGCGATCGAGGCGTTTTTGCGCAAAAGCGCATCTAGATTGGCACAGACACTTTTCCGCAAAAAGTGCTTTTGCGGAAAAGCATCTGTGCTAATCTAGATGCTCTTTTCCACAAATGCTTTTAACGGAAAACTTTTCCGTTAAAAGCATTTTTGGAAAATCATGCCAGTCTAAACGTAGCCGGTGCGTCCAAGGGGTGACGCGCTCGGAGGGGGATGAATAAAAAGTACCCGTGTTGGCCCATCTTGCCTGGGGGCAGGCTATCTTAGAGCGCCCGGGTTTCCACTGATTGCAGAATATGAAATACGAAATAAAAATACAGCTCCTACCACATGGCACTGCCTGGAGAGGTATGAATTTAAAGGTATTTTTTATCAAGTGGGAGTGATGGTGTGTGCTGGCCTTTAGTTAAAAGCTGTTCATAGCAGAGACATATAAGCTAATAGAAATTAGAGATTTTATTGCAATATTTAGTAGGAGGAAAAAATTGGGAGGAAAGTCTAGTGTTTTAATTGTCTCACATTTGTAATCCCTTTGTTCTTTTATACTGGAGCAGAAGCCTATGGATTTGATGCTGCAAGCACCTACGTATGTGCTGACTTTTTTGCAAACCTAAGCACTTCAACTGAAATGAAAGGGCAGTGTAAAAGTTAAGTATTCACATGAGCATGTGTGTAACCTCCAGAGTGACAGGTTCACATGAAGTGATTGTGGTCTTACAGGAGGAGGTTTTTCAGTTGACAAGCTCTACTAGTTAGATCCATATCATGCACAGAGGAGGATTGTCCAATAGTAAGAATGCTAACCAGAGTTCAGGAGAACCAAGTGCCATCCCCCATTTTGCCACAACCTTCCTGTGTATGACCTTGAACAGAGCCCGCTCAAGGTATTAGCAAGCTTAGGTTGCTGCTTAGAGCAAATTTTGGAACTTTCCAAGAGCAGTGGTGGTGCTTGGGAATGAGGTTGATAGGACTACCATTAGGAATGTTATGCTACATCTATGCTACAGGCTTCTATAGGGTTTACCTACGGCGGAAGAAGCCCTCTGCTCTGCCATTTAACTGCCCATTTAATTGCACAAGAGCTCATTTGTGGTGCGGACACTCCCTAAATTTCTGTGCAAAAACAGTTTTTGTGCAAAAATCTTGTAGTGTAGATGTAGCCTTAGAGTATAACTGCTTAATCGATAAGATGTTGCTTATTGGTTAATGGTCTCAGTTACACATAGCCAGCTCCCTGGGAGTTGGGTTGGCGGCTGTGCTCCCGGGAAGACTTCAGTGCAGGTTCTGCTGTATAAAGCCAAGCTTAGCTTAAGCTTGGCTTTATACTGCAGAGCTCTCAGCATGGATAACCATGGCACTGAGATTTTCAGCAGTTACATGGTTACACTAATACACAATTTTTAACATCCCTACCTACCATCAACTGCGGCTTTGAGGGGTAGGAAACTGCCCTTAGCGGGGCTGCTTAGAAAGCAGTCCTGCCCCCATCTGGTAAGATCACAACCATAACTCAGGTTCTAAGCAGCTCATGGCTACTCCTGGCAGATGAGTGGGGTTAGGGCTTTGACCACAAGTAGAGTTATCCAGCCAGCTCCACACACAGCCTAAATCTGCTGCTCTGTGCCTATCCTCAGGGGCCCTGCTACTGCCTCTGTCACTTGCCACTACTTTAGATTCACACCGTGGCTGCTCCATGCTAAGTTTCCAACTGCAGGAGCATCCAAAAATGGTGGGGGACATTTAGGTTGTGGGCAGTGCTTTTTTTGTGACAGTACTGCCTGGTATGCAGTACCAGCACTTCCAGTCAGAGCTCAACAACTTTCCCCCTGGAGTACTGGCACTTTTTTTTTTAAACAAAAAAAGCACTAGTTATGGAAGTTGCTAGAACTAGGCAAGGGCTACATATTGTGGGTGGGTTAGATTTAGGCTGTGGAGCATCAGAGGTCAGGCAGAAGGGATGAAATGAGAGATGCCCGCTTCTGGTTGTGTTTGGGCTGAGCAGCTGGTTCTAGGTGTGGAGGATGCTCGGGGAGGTTTGCAGGGGGCAGATGGGAAGCAACAAGCAGGTACCTGCCCCAAACTTCTAAAGAAGTGAGGTGGAGATGTGGGGAAATACACTGGAATTGTGCCTATGGCAGCAGATTGTCTTGAGCAGCCTCTCAAGACAGATTTTTAACATCTTGAGCAGATTGTCTTGAGCACCATATCAGGAAGGCGAAAGCACAAATGGAATTGCGACTGACTAAGGATGTGAAGGATAACAAGAAAGGTTTCTACAGGCATGTTAACAAGAAGAAGGTGATCAGAGAGGGTGTGTGGCCCCTAATGGATGAAGGAGGTAACCTAGTGACAGATGATGTGGGGAAAGTTGAAGTACTCAATGCTTTCTTTGCCTCTGTATTCACAGACAAGGTCGACTCCTGGACTTCTGCGCCACGTGACGCAAGATGGGATGAAGATGGACAGCCCGTGGTGGGTAAAGAACAGGTTAGGAACTATTTAGAAAAGCTAAACGTACATAAATCCATGGGTCCGGACTTAGTGCATCCGAGGGTACTGAGGGAGTTGGCAAATGTCATTGTGGAACCTTTGGCTATTATCTTTGAAAAGTCGTGGTGATCGGGAGAAATCCCGGATGACTGGAAAAAGGCAAATGTAGTGCCCATCTTCAAAAAAGGGAAGAAGGATGATCCAGGGAACTATAGGCCGGTCAGTCTTACCTCAGTTCCTGGAAAAATCATGGAAGGGATCCTTAAGAAATCCATATTGAGACACTTGGATGAGAGGGAAGTGATTAGGAATAGTCAGCATGGATTCACAAAGGGCAAGTCGTGCCTGACCAATCTGATTAGCTTCTATGATGAGGTAACTGGCTCGGTGGACATGGGAAAGTCAGTGGATGGGATATACCTTGACTTTAGCAAGGCTTTTGATACAGTCTCCCACAATATTCTTGCAAGCAAGTTAAGGGAATGTGGATTGGATAAATGGACGGTA